GTCGCATCATCGGCATGGATGTTGAAATCACCCAAGACTAACAGTCAAGGGTGCTCAAATGCCCAGCCTGATAAGGCCTCCAGCAGGGATGGCAGGCTACTTGCCGGTGCATTGGGTGGTCGGTACGCCAGTCAGATAGCCAAACTCTCCCCGGGGTCCCAGACAAAGCCAGCACACTCTATGCCCGTGAGTTTCTGTGGCGGGAGCACTCCGAAGGTGTAACTCTCCTGAATGAACAACGCCACTCCTCCCCCACACCCCTTAGTCTGGGATTGGTGAAGGACCGAGTATCCTGGAGGAGCCAACTGGGAGAGAGCTACAGTCTCCCCATCTCGCACCAAAGTCTCAGTTATGCACACCAGGTCTACGTCTTGCTCTGACACAAAGTCATGAAGGTTTTGTTGTTTATGGACCTGGCGTTACACAACACCAATGTCGGTGAGCGGTTATGGGTTATCCATCCTAGCCCCACTACCTACTACCTTCGGGATGGGACACAGACTGGAAGGGGGCTGAGCCCATCTACGTCTCCGTTCCCTTCCTTTCCAATAACAGCCATGCTCAGGTCTTTAACAGTCATGCTCAGGTCTTGCAAACTGAAGGCCATGCTTTCTTGACTGAGTCAATCCATCTCATGTTTGGTCTTCTTCTTTTCATGATGCCTTCAACATTTCCTAGCAGTAGTGTCCTTTCCAGTGACTCTTGTCTTCTCGTAATGTGACCAGTAAGATAGCCTCAGTTTCGTTGTTTTAGCTTCTAGGGAGACGTCATGCTTGATTTGATCTATAACCCGCTTATTTGTCTTTTTTGCAGTCTACGGTATCCGTAAAACTCTCCTCCAACACCACATTTCAAATGAATCAACTTTCTTCCTGTCAGCTTTCTTCATTGGCCAGCTTTCACAATGATACATACTAATGGGAAGTACTATAAGATGAATTACCTTGATCTTGGTCTCCAGCAACACATCCTTAAACTTAATAATCTTTTAAAGCTCCTTTATGGCTGCCCTTTCCAGTCTCAATCTCCTTCTGATTTCTTGGTTGCAGTCTCCCTTTTGGTTGATGACTGAACCAAAGAATACAAAATCTTGTATAATTTTAAATTTTTCATTGTCAATTCCCCAGTAGTCATTACTTTTGTCATCTTGATACTTAACTGTAATTGTCCTTTGGCACTTTCTGCTTTAACCTGTATTAGTAGTTGTTTCAAGTCTTTACTGTCTTCTGCCAGTAGCATGATATCATCTGCATAAATCAAACTGTTGATACCCCTTCCACTAATTTTCATTCCACCTTCATCTAAAACTAATCCAGCTTTCTTTATGATGTGTTAGAACATCATATAAAGTAAACCGATGTGAAGATAAAATACATCCTTGTCTGACGCTTTTGCCAATTGGAAACCATTGTTTCTCTGTATTCTGTCCTAACAGTAGCCTCTTGGTCCAGAATACTGGTTGCGCATCAAAAAAACCCAGATGTTGTGGCACATCCACTTCTTTTAAAACCAATCACAGCTTTTCATGAACCACACAGCCAAAAGTCTTGCTGTAGTCTAAGAAACACAAGCTGATTTTTCCCCCCTGAAATTTATTCCTATGAAAGTAGACAAGGGTTATGCAAGAATTAAAGTATTCAAATGGAGTACCAGGAAAACATGTAATACCAAAACAAATAACACAAAGCAGAAAGCTAGCATGTGATAACTTCCGTAAAAAGATTTGACTCTAAGAATAAGGCTTTTAAATATTGCTGCTTTTCGTACAGGTGGCTATCTCCTATGTAAGGGCTAATCATACAGCCAGCAAAAAAAGCTAGTTGATACTTTCAAAAACATCTTACATGATCCGTCTTGAACTTGCTGACAAGACACCAAAGAGAATAAAAAATTAACAGGCCACAGGAACACATCATAGCATCAGCCATGGACAGTAAGCTATTCACACATACTTGAATGGATTGCTAACGCCATATTTTAGATTTTAAAAAATGAAAGGCATTCAACAAGTTAGATTTTTAGTGACACCTCCCTACCTCTTACTGAAATTTATGCTTTTTTCAAGTGGAAAGGAAGGTATTTTATTTGCAAATTGTACTTAGAGTATAATGTTTTTCTACAATTCACATTCAAACTTCCAGCCCACCTTCACTGAATCAGCTGTAGAATTTTCGTGTGATACTTAAAATATTTGGAAAAGGTAATCATGTATCTTCACAATTTAATTTTCTTCAAGGTTGTTTTGTTTTAATGGGCAAGGTTTTAAGGACCTGAACAGCTATTATACAAAACAGGACAAACGATACCAATTTCTTCAGTTCATGCAAAATATGAATCCAGTGTTCCTGGCAATGCATGGGTACAGGTCCTTTATTGTTTCATAGCATAATGATCTTATGAGTTTGGCTTGTTTAGTGTACAGGCAAAGTGGGGAAAATAATAAACATCATGAAGGATATAGTAAAATTAGAAAACACTGTGAGTATAAAAAAAGCAGTCATTATCACTGACCCTTAACAAATGTAACTATTAGTATTAAAATTCTGGAATATTGTCCCTTTAATAACTGCCAGAATGAAGCCTGAAGCACAACTAGAAATCCTGATATTTATTAAAGAAAATATAAGGTTTGACCTAGATCACATCCCTTATGAATATACAGTGGAGGTGAAGAATAGGTTTAAAGAATTAGATTTGATAGACAGAGTGCCTGAAGAACTATAGACAGAGGTTCGTAACATTGTACAGGAGGCAGCAATCAGCACCATCCCAAAGAAAAAGAAAATGCAAGAAAGCAAAGTGGCTGCCTGATGAGGCTTTACAAATAGCTGAGGAAAGAAGGAAAGCAAAAGGCTAAGGTGCAGAGGAAAGATTTACCCAACTGAATGCAGATTTCCAGAAAGCAACAAGGAGAGATTAGGAGGCTTTCCTGAATGAACAGTGCAAAGTAACAGAGGAAAACAACAGAATGGGAAGGACTAGAGATCTGTTCAATAAAATTGGAGAAATCAAGGGAACGTTCCGTGCAAAGCTGGCCACGATAAAGGACAAAAACTGTAGGGACCTAGCAGAAGCAGAAGAGATTAGGAAGAGATGGCAAGAACACACAGAAGAACTATATAAGAAGGACCACAGTGTCCTTGACAACCAGAACAGTGTGATCACTGACCTCGAGCCAGACATCCTGGAGTGCGAAGTCAAATGGGCCTTAGAAAGCATTACTAACAACAAAGCTAGTGGAGGTGATGGTATCCCAGCTGAGCTATTCAAAGTCTTAAAAAATGATGCTGTTAAAGTGCTGCACTCAATATGCCAGCAAATTTGGAAAATGCAAAAGTGGCCACAGGATTGGAAAAGGTCAGTTTACATTCCAGTCCTAAAGAAGGGTAATGGCAAGGAATGTTCAAACTATCACACAATTGCACTCATTTCACACGCTGGCAAGATCATGATCAAGATCCTACAAGCTAGGCTTCAGCAGTACGTGGATAGAGAACTGCCAGAAGTACAAGCTGGGTTTTGAAGAGGCAGAGGAACTAGAGATCAAATTGCCAACATTCGCTGGATTAAGGAGAGAGCAAGGGAGTACCAGAAAAACATCTACTTCTGCTTCATTGACTACACTAAAGCCTTTGATTGTGTGGATCACAACAAACTATGGTAAGTCCATAAAGAGATGAGAGTACCAGAACACCTTGCATGTCCCCTGAGAAACCTGTATAAGGGTCAAGAAGCAACAGTTAGAACTAATAATAATAATAATAATAATAATAATAATAATAATGGATGCTGTTAAAGTGCTGCACTCAAAATGCCAGCATATTTGGAAAATGCAACAGTGGCCACAGGATTGGAAAAGGTCAGTTTACATTCTAGTCCCAAAGAAAGGTAATGCCAAGGAATGTTCAAACTATCACACAATTGCACTCATTTCACACGCTGGCAAGGTCATGATCAAGACAGCGTAATAAAAAGTAGAGACATCACCCTGTCAACAAAAGTCCATATGGTCAAAGCAATGGTATTCCCAGTAGTCATGTATGGCTGTGAGAGTTGGACCATAAGGAAGGCCGAGTGCCAAAGAATAGATGCTTTCAAATTATGGTGCTGGAGAAGACTCTTGAGATTCCCTTGGACTGCAAGAAGATCAAATCAGTCAATCCTAAAAGAAATCAACCCTGACTGTTCCCTGGAAGGCCAGATACTGAAAATGAAGCTCAAATACTTTGGCCATCAAATGAGAAGGGAGCACTCACTGGAGAAGACCCTGATGCTGGGAAAGACTGAAGGTCAAAGAAGAAGGGGACAGCAAAGGATGAGGTGGTTAGACAGTGTTATCGATGCAACGAACATGAAATTAAGCAAACTCTGGAGGACGGTGGAAGACAGGAGGGCCTGGCATGATGTGGTCCATGGGGACATGAAGAGTCGGACTCGACTGTGTGACTGAACAACAACAACAAGGTTTTACAGAAAGGTACTTTTAATTGGCACTGGCTGTTCAGAGAACAAAACAAAAAAATATAAAAGGCAAAAACAAAATTCTCAAAGCCTGTTACAGTGGGCTGGACCCTAGATGCTGACGCATACATGCACCAGGTGGCATATGAGGGAGAAGGGACCACTTTTGACCCCTAAAACCTATGCTAAACCTAAACCTATGCTAGGTTTTGTGGAACTCGAATCGACTAAAGTCATGCTAAGCTAGACTGTCATGTAGACGTGCTAGCTGCATTGCTAAGGAGAGATGGTGCAAGATCACCCTGCTCTCCCTTGTATTAGCAGAATAGCTGAAAGCATCCAATCCAAATATCTGTATACTAACTGGCACCAGAAAAGTCTTTAATAAGTACAAGAAAAATCAGGGAATACCACAGGTGTGTGGTACGTTTCTGTGAAGCAATTGCTAGAGTTAATATGACAATGTCCAATCTTGCCAATTGACAACAGATTCTCATTTATAATGAGAGCGAGCTGACTTTCTAAAAGCCTATCCTTACCACAATCATTTCAGAAGGCTCCAGTACGATACACTCGCAACCTCGTTTTCCTCCAGATTGCTTGCCAAAACTGAGGAGGGGGAAAAAAACAGAAAATGTTAGCTCACATTAGAGACAATAACAGAAAAGTAAAAATACAGCAGTAAGGAATGTTAACTGAATGTGACAGAACACAGTTGATCACATCGCACATGCTGATTTAAGGGACTGTTATAAAGTGCTCCTCCAGCATTCTGGAGAAATGTTCAGACATCAATATAGCTGGTCTCAAGAGCTATTATTATATACACATACACACGCACGAGAATAAGATCATAGAGTGCAAAAATGCCAAAACACACTGAAAGAGGGGGAAAATCCATCCTTAACCCCATCCCAACCCAACTGGTTACTTTTTTTCCTCATACTGTTGACATGAATTGATCAAAATAGCTTCCAATAGGCTAGAATCAACATCTTGCTCTTGATTTAAACAGGTCCCATAGCTCATCACAAATTATAGAAGGGGAAAAGTACTAATACCTCATCACATTGTCAAAGAATGGGAAATGCAGGAAAGAACATGAAAACCAGACCTAACAATATGGTTTTAAATATTTTGATTACTGGTATGTACTTGTCTGGAATTTTCAAGATTTATTATTTTGATTACTGGTATGTACTTGTCTGGGATTTTCAAGATTTAATTACTTTAAAATATGCAATTAATTCTTTAAATTTATAACATCAGAGTAGTAGGAAATATAGCAAGAACAACCTTATGATTGTTATACATATTGCAGTATCCTGTGTGTCAGGACGTCTATTATTAGTTTGCAGAGATTTCAAGTTCTTCGGTATTCTGCAAGCAACGCTAGTCAGGTCTCCTCAAGTGGTAGTGCCCTCAGGCTAGAACAGCAAGGCTTGAGCATCAACAGGAGCTGGAAGCAAGGAACTGGCACTGGAGGCAAGGAGCTGGAACTAGAACACAGGCTTACACCTAGTTAGCCAGTTGATCCAGCAAGTTTCCGCCATCAGCCCAAGGCTCCTCTGCCTCCACTGATTCTGCTCGATGGAGTGGACTTCTAACGGGCTTACGGACTTAGTCCTGGACTAACACTTAGTTCCCCCAGGACCTTGAGGTACAGAGAGTAGTTCTGGAGGATCTCCCACTGCAAGTTCCTCAGGGGTCAGTTCTGAAGCAGATCAGCCAGGAGCATCTATCCGGCAGGGTTGTTGTTTTTTTGCAGTTTTCTGCTCTCCTCCAGGCAGTGTTTTTTGCAGTTTTCTGCTCTCCTCCAGGCCGTGTCTCAGGCTCCTCAGGCTTCCGAGTTGGAGTCTAGAATCAGCTCAGTGAGGGTCACAAATAGTTCTTGTCTTAGATTTTTTTTAAAAAATAACATATTTTGATGCTGCAGTAACATGAAGTTATCTATGTACCTAAAAATTCCAAAATGCATTAAATGCATTAATTACTAGATACGCAGATGTGATTCATCAAGAGAACAGAAGTGTCATGAAACTATTCTAAGACTGCACAAAATCTTTCAAAGTGATGATAAGTTTGAATACTAAGAAGAATTACGATCAGTAGGAGGCAAGAGCATTGTGATTAGAACTGTCAAATTCTCGTTTTAATAATATATCACAGAAACAGCCCTTAAGTGTAGCAGCTTTCGTGTACTCATGTGTATGACTAATTATCTCTCTTTTCAATACAGCTATCAGTTCCCTGTAGTTCACTGCAATTGTGTTTTGGAGTGAGCACAGAACTAAAATGGTTCCTGAGGGCAGGCTATTTATTGCATGGGCAAAATGTATGTTTCCCAACCCTAAATGAATACAGGATGGGAGGGGAAGGGTACTTAAGCCTTCCCACATGAACTGATTTGCATTTGCAAACTCCTCCCCCCATTTCACCAGCCATTTTTTCCAGGCATCTTGATAACCTGGAGTCCAACTGAAAGAAATATGAAAGGGGCAGACGGGTAAACCCTTCCCTTCTCCAACTCAAACTGCAACTGTGTTACTATTAGATTTGTGAAGGCCCAGGAGAAAAAAAAGATTTTTTTTTTCCTGAGGTCTTCCCCCGCCCCCCATTTTTCCTAACAGTAAAGTTGGAAATTTGGAGGAGTACTGAAAAACATCCATATGAAATATTTTCTCTTTTAGAATGAGTGAAATGCTTTTAAAGGCAAGATGGGCATGCTTTGGACATACACAGCTCTTAAAACCAAGATGCATTTCTGCACCTAGAAGGATGCCTAATCTTCATGAGAGGAATATGAAGGGCTTTCATTGCTCCTCAACAGCTAAATGCCTTCTGTTGTCCTTTTGACCTGACATGGTTAACCTTTTCATCTTTCCCTCAAACCACTTGACACCTTTACCCACAGACTGGGTATAAAGGAGCTTATTGCTCTACCTTGCTGGAGGGAGAAAAAAGATCAGAAACGGGGAAGAAATGGCACCAAATCTTAAAAGGAAAACTGAAAGTTTCACTGAGACTTTAGCTCTCTCTTACCAGGCAGAAAAAACTAAGGTATGTGTGCTAAGGTATCACAGAGTACATCAGCTTTCTCTCAGGTACTGGGAATATTTGCAATCTTGCTTGTACAAAACTAAGGCATTTTAAAATTCCATAAATATGTTGAATACTGCAGTTTTATATGCTAAGTTATAAATGGATTTAATGTTGTTAATGCAGTAAAATTAGTTTAGCTTTTACAGGACAGTAAATATTGCATATATTTCAGTTTCCCCCCCAAAAATTCATTTTTTCCAGAAAAAAATTCCTGAGATGTTAGAACTCTAGTTACCATTGCTATATAATGACAAACAGCAGTCTCTTCTATCAAAGGTTCTCAGTTCCCAACCTTTATTATCTGATTTTTCCTTGTGTTTTTAGCTTATATTGAGCCACAAAAAATTGTTGCCAGTGCTTTTCATATTTATGAAAATGTATTTCACACTGTGCTTCAGGGAACACCATTTCTGATACCAAAAACTCTCTCAAAAGACGTGGAACAGAATGTTTTCTCTCTATTGAGGTTAATAGCAGCTGTAGAAGGAAGGTTTGTGCATCTGTATTGAGAAGACAGCAGATGCTTTGACATAGAATTTGATCCTCATTGATCCCTCAGACAGAGAGATCTCAAATGTTTCCTGATCACTGATCACTGTCATCTCATCTGGTCTGCTACTGCTTGTCATTCTATGAGAGATATTTTCCCCTCCCCAGTCTGCTCTGTGGCACCCTTACAGAAGGTGTAATCAACAGGTTTGCTTCTCTTCTGCAGCCTATCATGTGGTCTAGCCTCTACCTCTATTACTCCTACAACCAGCCTTCCAAAAAATGCAAGCTAAAGTGCTGGCTCTTATCTCTGCAGCACTCAGCTGTAGAAGGCCTTTAACAATAAAATTTCATCTTAGAAATAGTTAAAATGCTTTTCTTCTTATCAAATATCAGAGTTCAAACATTTCTTACTAGAAGCAGTTAAGCCAAATGATCATTGCAAACTGTCTGGTTCCCTTCAGAAAACTATTACACTATTTTTGTCAATGCATTCTAAGCTTCATAGAGCCCTTTCCAAGTCAATAAAGATCACATCCCTCTGCTGCATCAGTGTGTGATTGTGATTTGCTTCATTTACATTTTAACCTTTTGTCTGCTTTGGAGAAATGGTCACATGTATACATGTGGATGAAACAATTATTCCATGCATATGCACACACCAAGTAGGATGTATTTGTCAGGCCTCGAAATTTCTCTTCTTGCCTTTCCCTCCTCCTTCCAAGTTAAAAGCTGCTTTTGCTGTGCTTGAAAAATGTGTGCATTCTCCATCCTAAAAACCATTTATCAATATTAAGTTGCTGAAAGGATTGATGCCTTTTAGTATCTGAAACAGAATAGAATTTTTATGTCCCTTACAGAATATTTACTTCAAGGGCATTTACTGTTTCCTCAAGAATTAAAAGACTGAAAACTCCACACTCAGTTATTCTCACTTTCAGACTTTCCAAAAAGCTTAGGCTTCAGATCAATGACAGCCACCACTGAAATTCAATCAGTGCTTATGTGCAAGCTCCACTGAAATGAGTGAAAGTTAAACAGAATCAGCACTTAGAAGACTGCGCCCCACACTTTTACTTATATGTTCCAATTCTTTTGATGTAGCAATTTTCAAAGACTGTTATATTTCTTGTCATAACTTCCACAGAAGAAATCCTGTATAGGCTGCTTAGAATCTGCCAGGGACTTAATGTCAAAGATGTTAGCAGGGCAATTCAAATCAATATATATGATACAGCCTCCAGAAGAATTGCTTTTTAAAGGGAAGAACTGGAGAATAATAATGCATACACTCTGGCAGAACTTTCTTTTTAACATGGTCTCTCACCATTTCCAAACTACTTTTTAAGCTCAAGGAAAATTTAAGAACAATTTGGGAGTTCCCTGGGAACAATGTCAAAGAGGCAAACTCATATAAATGATCAGATATACTAGAAGGTCTAATCAGAAATTAGAATGGTATACTTCTGGGGGGGTTGGGGTCTGTTTTGGTTTTTACTGACTGGGTGGTTTACTGTCACAGACTAGCCCAAAATGAAAAATGCTTCTAATTTCTAATTCTAAGCTTCCATTAAATAAACACTGAAGTTGTCCTGAGGAATAGTTAAAAACGGCTGAAAGAAAGCACTGTAGGACAACTATATCTGACATATGTGGTAGATCATACAGAAAGAATTCACAAAATGTTTATTATTAACAGATAACATCCATCTTCTCACTACAGCTACAGCTTCTGTAACAATACTGTAATGCAACGGCTGTTGCTGCTATAATTTGTGGTCCTAGGACAAACCTATTCATGCCAGAAAGATACAACCTAAGATTAAAAAAAAAAACCTGTAGAATTGCACACTGTTGAATAAGATCAAGAAGCTACATAATTTAATAAAACCACATCATTTTCCAATACACTTCACTATTTCAATATACAACAGAAGTAATTATTAGCCAGTTTGAAAAGATATATGAACTGGAATACCTGAATAAACTCAAACACAGCATTTTGACTTGTTTTGTTAATAGACTGGGCCATACATCTGATAACTGTTTTGGCAGATTGCTAATCCTACATTTTCCCGCACTTTAACCTGCTTCATTAATGGGATTCTGCTAAGTGTAGAATCTCAAGTAAGGGTGGTGAACACCATTAAAAAACACAGACACAAACAACCCCCAAACTTTATTTCTTACTTCACAACAGGTTCTTGACCAAAACAAACCTACTTCCAAGAAAGAACAGGTAGAGAATAAGCAGGGAAAAGTAATGTTATGTCATGACCACATTTTTGTCAAAAGGCAGCTAAAATACACAAACATTCTCTCAGCTTTCTACTAATCCAGAAACCCAAACATTTGGCCCCTTTAAACACCCTCCCCAAGTGGCGAGTTTATTTGCCGCTTGAAGAAGGTGTCCAATCCCTTTGAGCACCTTTTTGAAGCAGCGAGTTTTTTCCTACGCTCCAATTTAAACCAGGCTGCACGAGTCTAGAGCCCCAAGATGTAGAAGGAAGGTTTGTGCACATTGCTCTGTGCAGCACAGGAGATCCTGGCTGGGCTCGCTTCTCCTGCATTCTAGTTTAAACAAGGCAACAAGAAAAGTAAGCCCCAGGAGCTGCTGTGCCACATGGAGCACATTTCTCCCAGTGGCACAAAGGATCCTGGGCTTGCTTTCTCCTGCCTTCAAAGGGCTTGCAGTCCCTTTAAATGCACTTCAACCAAGGCTATCTGACAGACCTGAAAAATCCTGAATATTTTCGGGATATTTCGGGTTGGCCATTTTCAGATAGCCAAGTAAATGGCCTACTCACTAACTGGCTGAAAAAATATCCAGAAAATACCAATACAGAATTTTGGGGTATTTTTTCTGGCTCAGTTTAGCCAAATGCACATCTCTAGTCCCGAAAATATTAA